CGTGACAGAAATGGTCGGGCCGCAGGCCCGACCATCGCCGCCGGCAGGCCAAGCAGGCCCGGCCCCTGCCGAACGGAGTTGCCGGCGCAGCGAAGCGAAGCTGGCAACTTCGTTTGGCGGAAGGGCGGGCCTGCTTGTTCAAAACCGGTTAACCTAAGAATACTGGTTCGTTTTACGTTACCGGTTTATTACCGTAAACCGATATTTCGGTGAAAAATCGTTATATTTCGTCACCGAAAATCGGTCTGAAAAAACCGACACAGAACAACCCTAGCTCCGCTTGCCCAAATTACCCTATTTCTTTACCTACGCAGCGGTCCGAGTTCGGCTCGCTCGCCGACCGACGCTCGGGCTCAGCCCACCGGCTGCTCGGCTGACTTTGTCAAGTTAATGTAGAAACCGTGAAAACACGAATACGCATCGAAAGGCCTTACTTAAACGAAGGTCCATTGTAAGTTTCAAGTTGATCTGAAATCTTTGATAACTCACCTGGACGATTTCTTTTACTACGCAACTGCGCAATAACCTCTGTTTTGAAAATACGAAATTATGAGGACTCGCTGGGAAGAAATAAGAGTACTGATAGGAAAATGAGAGTTTATAGGGTGTACTGGATGCCTTGATTTGTTTTGTTAGACACGAAAACTTGGAAAAATCACAATCTAAAGCCAGCCACGCAGGTCCCTCGCCCTCCGGCGGCCCGCCGGGCCGGGCCGAGCATCGCCTCAGCCACTCACCCGGCCGTTGCATACCCCTGGAAGAATAGGAGGTAGTGGCCTCCAGCCCCAAATACTTTTTGTTAGGTACATTAAATAGCGTATTTCGGGTAAGCGGAGCAGCGGAAACGGATCTGCCCAGTTAGGGTTGTCGCAAATAAGGCTTTTGTGAAAATGTTAAAGTGCTTGTTGACTGAAGGGTGTAATTTGGTGAGGAGAACTCTAAAAAAAACTGGCCTGCCGGCCGGTAACGAGACAGTCCAGCTCCAAAAGTTAATTCAAAATATACAGGCGCTAAGGTTTGTATCTTTAAATTCAATAAGGCATCAAAACGAGACTGAAAATCTTCTTATCAAAACCGGAACGTTAATCGGCAATATCCGGCAACGGCAAACTTTATCAAAACGGGATACTTTCACCTTACCCAGGAGCGCTTGCTACGGAAAGCTGTGGTTAAAATCAAAACCAACGAAAACCAGCAAATTTTGCTAGAATCACCATTAAAATTTTTCTGGATTCCTGATTTCTGCGTGCCCGAAAACAAGCACATTTCATATTTCAGAGCGCTGTGGTTCAAATTTAAAATTTAAGACTAGGGATCACTTGTCAAGTGGATGGGCCACGTGGATCCCGGTGCCGATTGAACTGCAAGTGGGCAGGGGTTGGGGTGCGGGGCGCGCGAGGAGCAGCGCTGCGAGAGGCTCAAGTGGGCTGGCCCACCCTGGCTCGGAGCGAGTAGACATGTGCGCCGACTACACTTTTGTCGGCGGCGGCGTGAGGCCAAATTTTGGTCAACGGCGGCGGCGCCGCCGGCGTTCACGCCGATGTGATTGTCGGCGGCGGCGGCGGCGGCGTAAACCCAAATAAGTTGCACCTTTTAACGATTTCGGGGGTCAGATTTGCCTTCTCATAACATATCCTAACGACTTTTTGCTCGCCAGAATTTCTTGCCAATTATTCTTCGCAAAATTCGAATTACATTGTTTAACTGCTTTAAAATTTTGAGCTGCTTAGCAGGTTGCCTACCCACCCGGCGTCCCCAAGTTAGGTTTGAGAATAGAAAATGACCCTTTACACCCTCTACGCCGACGCCGCCGCCGATGAAATTGTCGGCGGCGGCGCGGCGGCGCGCCGACAATTTTTTGCCGGCGGCGGCGGCGCGCTGAAATTCGTCGGCGGCGGCGCAACGGCGGCGCGGCGCACATGTCTAGAGCGAAGCAAGGGATAAGGGCGCTGTGTTTATAACACAACCAGGGCGATGACAGCGGACTGCTACCGGGGACGAACGGAATGGAATGGAACGGAGAAAACGCTCGCTCCCACAGAGAATCTATATTATCAACGTCAATCGGCTTATTATAACTGGAACGCTAATCCGCCATCTTTATCAAAACTGGAAACTTTTACGTTCGGGTAGAGACAGACCACAAGGGACTGTCTACAAGTCATCATTAAAATCGGACAATATTTGACCCCACCGTGGCACTGAATAGTACGCGTTTTGTTCTTCCATTTTACTTCTTCACGTCCAGCTCTGAAATAGCCTAAAGCATTCCGGTAAAGCTAAAATGCAGAAGAATGCGAGGAAGAAGAAAACGGAAATCACTATGCTTTTCAAAGGGACTTCTGTTTTCTTGTTCCCTGAATTCTTCTGTATTTCAGCTTTACCGGAATGCTTTATTGGTCTTAAACTATCACATTGGATCCTTACGGGGAATTTTGCCCAAATCAATAAATTTGGGGTGGAGCAAAAAATATTTTATGAACTTCAATATAACGGTCAAACACGTAATCTACACGAAAAACCGAGTCAGAATATGTGCCGCATGCATTCACAACGCATCGCAATTCGAAAATAATACGCACAAATTTACGGTTTTAAGGCGTTTCCGGCAATTTTGAGGATTTTATTTAATCGAAATGCGATGCGGGGTCACTCCTGGACAACGAAACGCCTGGTCCAAATCCTGGCAACTACTCCTAACCTAACTTCGGTGTAAGGTCGTAAGGTACATCTGCTAAAAATTGCTACACGATAGAAGAAGTCGTAGAAAGAGGCTAATAGGCATGGCCTGGCGAACATATAGCTTGTTGTGTCTCCTCGGAGAGATCTAGTGCAAGGTCAACTCAGCCTCATCCGGGCGGTAAAAATTTCCGATGGATATCAGCTTGAACATGTACTATTTCCGCATGTCCAAGAAGGTTACACTAGCAGGCTGCGGAGTTACATCAGAAGTGCATACTGATACTGGGTCAGGCTGCAGGCCTCTGCCAAACGGGGTTGCCAGCGAAATGAAGCTGTGAACTGCGTTAGGAGTGGCAGGCCTACTTATTTCTAGTGGGAGACAACAACACACGTCATTAATATACTTAATTTTGCACCACTTTCAGCGAGTTCAGTCCCAAAAACAGGAGTTATGAGCTTAATTTCAAGGAGCGAATTCTAAGACCCTACCCGACTGAAGAGAAGGCAGATCCTGAGGAACCCCAAAAAACCACGTAAGTCATCAGACCAGCCAAGCTAGTAAAGAAGCCAATTAATTATGTGGCAAATGTCCAGGCAAATTTTGACAAAAAGGCGTATGTCCAAAACCCAAAGTTTTACAGTAGAGGCAAAAAAAAGGTTTGTAACTGTTACCCTGTGTGGTTGACATGCATAGCAGAGGAGATAAGGGACATTCGCCAATTTCATGTTGAAATAAAATGTGACGAAGAGGCGAATGTCCACAGAAATTTTGACAGAGTGGCGTATGTCCAAGAACCAGTTTGACAAAGAGGCAAATGTCCACGGATATTTTGACAGAATGGCGTATGTCCAAGATCCAGTTTGACAAAGAGGCGTATGTCCACAGAACTTCTGACAGAGTGGCGTATGTCTCAAAACACTTTACTAATGAGCCAACATAAGGGCCACTTTTATGTTTGCTATAGACTTCTATTTCAGTTAGCGTTCTTCTCCAATTAAATTATATGTGACACTTGTACGAGTTAAGGCCAAGTTTCAATACTGTATTAAAAATGTAAGTTATTGGTTGAGCGATTAGCGAAACCTATTGTTCCGTCTGGTCGAAAAAAACTTTTTCTGTCTGTCCGTCTGTCTGCCTGTGTGTGTGTGTGTGTGTGTGTGTGTGTGTCTGTTCGCACGATAACTCGAAAACGCATTAGGCTAGCAACCTTGAATTTTAGGGTCTTTTTGTTGGCTGAGCGATTAGCGAAGCCTATTACTCCGTCTGGTCGATAAAAACTTTGTCTGTCTGTCTGCACGTCTGTCTATCTGTCTGTCTGTCTGTCCACACGATAACTCGAGAAGGAATTAAACTAGCGACCTGGGATTTTTAGGGTCGTTCAGTGTTATGAAAAGACAGATCGAGTTCGAAGATGAGCATTCTAGCTCAAAAATTGACTTTTAAAAAAATCGAAAACCACAGGTCGCAAAATATGTATTTTTTCAAATATTTTTTTATGGTCTCCTTAGGGGTAAATCGTGAAAGTAGAAGCTTTTGGGCGAAAATTCCGTCCGTTTTGCTCTATCTTGTACCGTTTGGGTGCTAGGGGGCATCTCGGGACAAAAATGTGGTGAAAATGACCAAATGGTCTATTAAACGGTAAAAAGAGGCTTTATATCAAAAAATTGTGCATACACTCCGATTCACTCGTCTCGGGTGTCAGCGCCGCAGGCCTAGCTATATGTGCGCCAGGCGCGTCGCTGCGTAACAGTGTTTCGTGAGATATCGCGAAGCCTGTTACGCGAGACGTGGTCTGGCGTACATATAGCTAGTTTAAGGGACCTGTGGTTTTTGATTTTTTTTAATCCAATTTTTGAGCTAGAATGCTGTTCTTCGAACTCGATCTGCCTTTTTATGATACAAAACGCCCCTGAAAATCCCAGGTCGCTAGCTCAATTTGTTCTCGAGTTACCGTGCGTACAGACAGACAGACAGACAAACAGACGCGAAACTTTTTGATCATCACTGCCGTAATAGGCTTCGCTAATCGCTCAGCCAATAAAGTGTGCAACTGACACACACTTTTAAGTGTTTAATACCGTGTGGCATACTTCTATGTGTGCACCACGTGTTTTGAATAGTTGGAAGTGTTTAACAGGTGTGTTGCACACGTTTTGGTGTTCAACTTGATCGTTGAGCTATAGTGCTCGACGGTCAGGTTGAACATTTAAAAATGTGCAACACACCTGTTGAACACTTCCAACTATTCAAAACTCGTGTTGCACACATAGAAGTATGCCACACGGTGTTAAACACTTTAAAGTGTGTGTCAGTTGCACACTTTATATATCAGTGCAGACAAACAGAATGAAACTTTTCCGGTCAGTGGAGTAATGGGCTTCGCTAATCGCTCAGCCAACAAAAAACGCACTTTTCAGGAAATAAAAAAAAAACTATTTGCACATAACTTTCTAGGAATGTTATGATGCAGATGGAATGCACTTTCAAAAAGAATATTATTGGCACTTTGAAACTTTTCACTATCACGCTCCTTAATGGAGTTATGGTCTTTTCTCCAACGCAACATTAGGAGACAAGTCGACTTAACTCTTTTCACATGTCAAGAATTGGAGTTATGTCATTGGAAAATTTGCAAAAGGGGTTAAGTCGACTTAACTCTTTCATGCATATGATGCAAAAGGAGGTAAGTCAAATTATTTTTTTCCGTCACTAATAGTGAAAGGCGACAAGTCCTCCTTTAAAAAAAAACACGAGATAATCAGTGATACGTACTCACACTACTATTTCAAAGTTGCTCATCAAATGTAACATTTATTAAAGTTAATACAGGGGTCTCAGGCAGGCGGCCCGCGGACCAGATCCGGCCCCTGCCTCTCGGCGTGCTGCCCCCCGTGGGCCGGGGCCGAACGGCTCCCGATCTTTTGCCGGCGGGCGGGAACGACTACGTCACCGTCGCGCGGGAAGTTCAAATCGGCTGGCGCGCGACTCTTTCTCTGATCTCGCCCCTTTTGTTTGAAATATGAAAACGAGATGCGGGAGCGGTGACACTGCCGGCCGCTACCGCACTGCAGCGCCGCAGCATCAGTCAGGTGTCTGTATTTGCTAGGCCATTCCAAATTATGAATGTAAGTCTTCGATAACGGAGGTAATAGTCTCACAAGAAAGGTTATAAGTAGTGATGATGACGTGCACAGTTTGGGCGATCTGCGATGAGGTTTAGGGGTCGCGCACGGGGCTTGAAGATATGGCGTCCTGGTGCCGCAACACTGAGCCGCAATGTTTAGGGCGGAGCCACGCTTGGTTGACGAGGGTGACGGGAGGGAGTCTGCGTACAGTGAGTACCCATAGGCACTGCTACCCTTTGGACCAGAGTGAACTGGGCCCGGTGTTACTGTCTTGTGACCACGGGCTTAAACGCCGCAATACACGGCACCCGCGCTGGAGGGACGACGGGTGGGAAATCGATAGTTCCTATGCCATGCTGTAATAGGAGGCACTTAGCTCTACCCGTTGCCGAGAGACTGCACATAACATTAAAACCAATCACTGAAAAAAGACGACAAATGATGAATTGGCGCCTGTAGTTATGTAATTTTGACTGACCGCACAACATACCTGTCTGTTCTTTGCCTACCTGACAGGCGAATATAGTGACATTTTAACATTTGCCATGATCGCTTCTGTTGTTATGTGCAGTCTGTGGGGCACAAGTAGCAAAAAGTGACTCCTATAACAGCGTGTCCTAAAGAATCCACTTTTCCCACCCGTCTTCTCTTAGTCGCGAGTGCCGTGTAATGTGACGCTTAGGCCCCTGGTGACTAGACAGTAACACCGGTCAGAGCTTTCTCCTTTCCAAATGAAGGTATTGCCTATAGGTTCTGACATCACGCAGACTCACTTCGATCTGCCCCGTCAACCACTCCTGGCGCGGCCTCAAACACAGCGTCCTGGTTTTGTGGCGCCAGAACCACATTTCCTTAAGTCCAATGCGCGACCCCTAACCGTTGTCGCAGAGCGCCTAAATTTTGCACAGCGCCATTATTACACAAAGGAATTACTTTAAATCTGTTACCTCGAAATCGTTTTTTATTCGGAATGGCCTAGTATTTGCGTGCGTCGCTTCGTCCGATCATGTCGTTCTCCAAACCCAAACCAAGCAATGCGGGTGGAGACGCGCCCCCTCCAAATTTGAGGAAAGTAGATCGGGAGAACCGAACATTTCAAATGAGATGGTATCAGATTATATGCTTTGAAGTATCCACGGTTCGTTCATATATCAGATGTAAAAGGATTAGGTTGAGTAATTTACACAGGTATTGTTCTTACACGGC